GAGGTGCAAGTGATGCTCAAGCAGCTGCATGGGGTGGCAGTGCAGGTTCAGCCGAGAGCAGGCGCCGTGTCAGGAGGCCAGGGCAGGGGGCTCTCGTGCTGAAGGAGGCGCCGATAGCAGTTTTTCAAAACAAGTAGCAGGAAAGAGAGAAGTCGAGGCCAGGCTGGGCAAGCTGGGGGACCTTGGGCAGGTCTCTCCACCTCTCTGGCTGCACCCCAGAGACTGGCTGTGAGACCACTGAGGTGCACGGTGCCCTGTCCTGAGAGCGCAACCCTGGAGGGACCATGCCCAAAACTCTCAGCATGTGCGCCCCACGTGGCAGGCCCTCAGCGGATGAGCCCTTGGCTTGGCCTGGGTGTCCTGGCCCTGGGTGGGTTGCACGGCCCTGCAGGCCCCATTCTTCACCCCAGGGAGGGGCTGATCTGGCTGCAGTGGTGGCATCTTAGTGTCCCTGTGCTGGCCCTTGAAAAAGAAGTGCCCCCCGCCCCCCGCCACCAGCCCGCAGCAGATATCAAATATCACTCCAGCAGCTTCCCTGGGCTCACACCAGGATTCGCTGGTGAAAGGTCAGAATTTGAACTCCAAGGCCAGCGTCCACCTCAAATCTGCTACCTGCCCGGTCCAAGCTGGCTGTGCTGACTCCTGGAGGCTAAATCTTGGGGTTAATTCCTGGATTAGTCTTTTACTCATCTGAAAAGTGAGGAGGGCCACACCCGTTTCGCTGGTTGTTGGGAGGGTCCAGTGGTTCGGGGTGTCCTGTCATGGTAACCATAACGTTCAGAGGCAGGGCCTGCATCCAGTGCTCATGATTGTGACATGACCTCAGCCCTGCACACAGCTTAGAGAAATGGATTTCATCGCCATTCACAGGAGGCGCCTTCTTAATTGATCCCTGGGTATCTCCCAGGATTCACCTGTACTTCTCGCATAAAATGCCAATGGATGCCCTCAGCTGGCAGGCCCTTCTCTGCAATGCCACATCTGCTCCCACCCGCCGCTAAACTGTCAGCTTACCAGACGTGAGTTGGAAATGTCCCAACCGGTTGGTGCCAGCTGGGTTTGCACGGCTACAGAACGTCACTGGAGATGATGCCAGTCCTGGGCCAGCTTGCCCACAGATCCACTCTGCCCGTTCCCCTGTTCGGCTCTATCACACAAAGGTTTGATGGCACGGGCTGCATTTCCTGAGCTCCTCAGCAAGCTGGTCCCCACTACATTCAACCAACAGGAGGCACCGACAGATGAAAACTGAAGGCAAGGGAAAAGCTGGGGTGTGTCTCCCTCTCTTCTCTGTCTCAGGTGATACCTCCATGTGGCTAAGTCCCCTCTGTGACTCTAGCAAACGCTGATTGACCCACCAAGTTCCTGCTTCTGCTGGGGGGCCCTGGTACCCCCACCTCTCTCCGCGTCCGTCTTACCCACAGGGCGGCAGTGGCTGAGCCGATGCTCACGCTGGGGCTCCTCACTGTCTCTGGCTTCTCAGCTTGTCCCTCGCCGTGTTGCTAACACTCCCTGAGTTACCTTCCAGGACTCAGTGTGGCTCCTGGCTTCCTGGTTGGACTCTGACTGATGATGATTATGCCGTGCGGTCAATCGTGTGATGCCAGACAGGAGCCTCTGTTTCGGTGAAAACTGGGTTGCAGACTCTGAGAAGACTTAATGAAGGCAGGTTGCTAAAAAAAAATAAATTGAATTTGGTACCGGTAGGACATCGTAAAAGATGGGAAGAAACAGTACAATCTAGAAGATGCTACGTGCTCATTCCTTCCTTAACATCTTTACATTCATGTTCCACTTCAAATAAATCAAAACTATGCCAGGCGTGGCAGGGCATGCTTGTAATCCCAGAACTTTGAGAGGGCAAGGCAAGAGACTCACCTGAAGCCAGGAGTTTGATATCAGCCTGGGCAACACAGTGAGACCCTCTCTCTACAGAAAAAGTTTTTAATTAGCTGGGTGTGGTGGTGCACACTTGACATCCTAGCTACTTGGGAGGCTGAAGCAGGAGGATTGCTTGAGCCCAGGAGCTCAAGGCTGCTGTGAGCTATGACTGCACCACTGCACTCTAGCCTGGGCAACAGAGCCAGACCCTGTCTCTAAAACAGAAAGAAGAAAAAGAAAGGAAAAAAGAAACCCAAACTGGGAACTGTTAAGCTAGAAGAAGAGGAAGGTCTTTGAATGCATAAGTTCAAAGCTAAAAGAAGGGTTTAAGACACTACTTTTATGATTCCCTTTATTTTTATATAATATTTCTTACAATTTCCTTCTTCAACCACGTTTTTAATTAACCTGATTTAAGTTTTTTTTTCAGTGGAAAACAAGAGGAAGGCTGGCTGCCCACTGCATGACAGGGGAATGCACAATCAGAATTTCAAGGGAAGGGATCCCTGGAAATTGAGCAGCTGCTATGTGCCAGGCACACTCACCATTACTTTCTCATTGAATCCTCTTTACCATTTTGGGAGGTGGGGAGTACAATTGGCCCCGTTTCACAGGCTAGAAACCAAGGCTCAGAAAAGTAAAGCCTCTTGACCAGGATCTCCCAGTTCATAAGAAACAAAGCAGGCTTCAGGTATGGCTGGTTTCAGCCTCCTTGTCCTTTCTGCTTCCCCAGACAGCTTCCCCAGGGCTGTTTAAAGCCTATCACATGCTTATGAGGGAGCGTGTGGAGATGACAAGCCCCTTAGCAGCAAGGACCAAGCCTGGCCCTCATTTGCCACATTGCCCTGAGAATGTGTTGAAGTACTCGCTGCTCAGAGGTGTCACTGGGCACAGCCTCGTGAATTACCTCCCTTTCCTGGGCCTGGACTCAGGTTCCCAGGGAGGGGGAAGCCCCTCAGGGTGACCAAGTTACAGGGGCTTAGGGGGGCCCACTCTTAGGTGTGGAAAAAACAGCAAAGCACGTAGGGTGGTATGTTCAAAACTGGAGGCGGTGTTGGTGGGATGGAAACAGCTCCCGGGCTGGGAAGCAGGGGCTTGGGTTCCACTGACTCATTGGGTGAGCTTGGATGAGTCTCCGCCCCTCTGGGGGCCTCAGTTTCGGCTTCTGTATAAGGGGGGTCTTCCCAGCTCTGTCATTCTCCTGTCTATTTCACATCTGGCTGACTCCAAAATGCATCAAATTCAACCAGGAGATCAAGGCCCCTTGGCAGGCTCCCCCTGTGCCACTGACCGCCGATGTTCCCACGCAGGCTGGCCGGCTGATGAGTTTACAGCGAAGGGTGGGGGTGGGGCAGCCTCTACCCTGCATGACTGTGATAACTCCTTACTTGATCTGACTCATAACGGAGCCCAAACCGCGTCACAGAGTCTCAGCCAAGGAAACCAATGTTTATGATTCCATCACCCTATGTTTGTCCCTTTGAAGAAGGTGTTATCCCCATTTTACAGGGAAGAAAACTGAGGCCCAGAGAAAGGAAGTGACTTGCCCCAAGGCCTGACCGCTCAGATTCAGCAGAGCTGGGGCTGGAAACCAAATATGACTCTTGAGCCCTGTGGTTGTCACCATAAACCTGCTTCCTCTCTGGCCTGTCCCCGCCACCAGTCGACTCACCATTTAGGGACAGAAGAATGAATCTTCACGAGGCTCCAGATGAGGCTCAGAGTGAACGTTTCCAAGGGCATTTACGCACCTGTGGTTGGGGCGGAAACAAGTCTCTTTGGGACCTTAGCGCAGCCCCTCCTCCTCCAGGGATTCCCCTCCCCAACCCCTGTGGGCCTACAGAGGCCACTGTGAGTTTGAGGCTGGTGCTAGGGACTAGCCCCAAGCCTGGACTCCCTGGGAGAGGCCGGGGGTGGAGGCCAGGCTGCAGACGAACTTGCCGAAGGTTTCATATGGAGGGCCTGGATGGGCACTAGGGTGTCATGCCCAAGGCCAGGGCTATGAGTCAGAGGCTGAAGTTCCAATCCCATTCCAAAATACTGCATGGCCGTAGACAAGCTGGCGTCCTCACCCTGAGGCTGACAGCCTGGCCTATGACAGGAGAGTAGAGCTTGCAAGGGAAATGGTAAAAGCTGCCATCTTTCCCCACCTCTCCACCCTCCCTCCAATACTGACATGGCTTCGGTTGCATCGTCTTCCATGATTTTTCTGCTTTTGAGCCTCTCTGAGCCTTGAATCCTCAAGGGCATGAGGGTACAAAGGGCACTTCAGGTTGGGGGAACATGAGCAGGAAGACTCCCGAGCATCGGGCAGGGGCAGAAAACCCCAAGGGGATGCACAGATTTGGGGGGGGGTCCAAGAAGAGCAAAGGTCCCAGAATGATGCGTCGGGCCTCAGTCCCCAGCCCTGCAGAGGGCCTCCCGGCGCAGCCAGGCCACCAGGTTTCACCCCGCAGGCCCTTCTCGGTGGGCAGGCTGAGGCCGGGCGTGAGTGCTGGCAATAGCACTTTATGTGTTTCCCATTGTACTTAGTCTCGACACCATAAAAACCCCAGAGGTGCCCTGAGCCACACATGTGGACCCCTCTCCCTAGCAATAATGCTGGTGGACAATAGCAAGGTGTTGGCCACAGCTCGGGGGCAGCGAGGTGTGGCAGGGAGCTCTCCGGCTGCTGGTGGTGGATGCAGGCTCCAGGCACTCGATGAGGGGCCCATGGGGCTCCCAGCCCGCCCAGGCCAATGCTGGCCTTAATTAACAAGGAGTCTCCCACCCAGGAGCCAAACCACCCTCTCGGCCGCGCCCACTCCAACTGCTTTCAGTTCTGTTTCTTGGGCCGCGTGCTGAGGCCAGCCCCACAAATAAAAGCCATCACTTTTCTCTCTCTCTCTCTCTCTCTCTCTCTCTCTCTCTCTTTTCTTTTTCCTTTTTTTTTTTTTTCTTTTCCAAAAAGAGAGGCAGCCACAAGATCTTCTAAAAGGCTGTGACATCACGGCCCAGGTGACCGCGGCCCAGCCAATGAGCCAAGGCCGCGAGCAGGCTTCTCGCATCCTGTGAGCTGAGGTTGGGTTGACACTGGGAAGGCCTGGTCCCTCAACCACAGAACCACAAGGCCAGGCCCTCGCCGCCTCCAGGGCCCTGCGCGGGAGCTGGTTGGCTCCCCGGGCTCCCCACCCCCGGCCGCCCTTGCACCCACCGGAGCCTGGGCTCTGTCGAGGGTAAGCCTCATTCATTCATTCCCGGTGGCGCTGGAGGGGGCCGGCTGTGCTCTGTCAGCCTCGGCGCTCCTCCACCCTGGCTGCCGAGAGCCCCTTCCCGCCATCTAATGATACACTCTGCATGCGCTTCTGTTGAGAATTTGTGGCTAGACATTCCTGTGGGACTGGGAATCCAAATTCTTGGGTACAAACAGAAACTTACTTTCCTTGGGGATTTTTTTTTTTTCTCTCTCTCACTCGCACACACTCTCGCGTTCTTTCCTTTTTTCTTTTTCGTAGCAGCAGGGGGAAAATAAAGAGACAAACCAAAACAACACGAAGCAACACCCCCCTCTTTTATTTTCAAAAGTAGTTAGGAAAAAAAAATCATAAAACAACAGCCAGCCAAGCCAATCCCAACCCTACCCCCTGAAGGGCTGAGAATTCTCGCCTTCTTGAGAGCGGGGCATGGCATCGAACAGCATCTTCGACTCCTTCCCGACCTACTCGCCGACCTTCATCCGCGGTGAGTAACGATTGCCCAGGGCCCTGGGTGGGGAGCTGTGGCCAGACCCCGGACCACGGCCCTGCACCGACCGCCCTGACTGCCCTCAAGTGCACAGCCTGTCTACTTAAATCCGCTGGCCTCTGAAAGCCTGAGGTGGGAAGAGGGGTTGGTGGCCTCTGTGGTCTCTTGGCATGAACCATCGCTGTGGCACTTTTATCCTTCACTGGTGGGGACAGTAAGCGGTGGGGGTGACGGATACTCCAAGACCTCAAGACCTCAAAGGGTAGCCCTCAGAGGGGCCAAGGGGGACTCTTAGGGACCCTCAGCTTCCTGCTTCACTAACGGGGCCCCTGGGCCTGCAGCCCCAGCCCCTGTCCTGCCTGGGACTCCCCACCTGGGCTCAGGAGGTTACTTCGGGCAGCGTCTGGGGAGAGCCGTGGGATCCAAGGGTCTTCCTGAAGACCACTGCCCACGTTTTGCGTGTAACTCCTGGGGTATTTTCAGAAGCAGAGGGCGGAGGAGGAAGCCACAGGCTTTTGTAGAAAACTGCGCAGAACTGGGCTGCACTGACGTTGGACCCGCACAGGGCTGGGGGACAGACTTCAAGGAAGTTTGTGGATATGGCCACGGAAGAGAGGAAAGTGTTTCTGGGCAGCTTTTGCCTTTTGTGGTGGCCTGCAGGGGCACAGAGTTCTGGGTTGTGTCTCCCAGCAAGGACGGGGGTCTGGGGTCCCCAACCTGGAGCCTCTGATGGGGCTGGGACTCATGGGGAGGCTTCCCCTGCCTCGGGCACTTAGGGCTGACGTACGTTGGCCTCAGGCACCCCCCCGAGGCCTTCCTCCTCCCCAGCAGGAGCCGGATGGGGCTGTGGCACCTGAGTCGGGGGATCAAGTCCCTGAGCTCAAGTCCCACAGCTCACTGACTTCCTTGCTGAGAGACCTTAGAGACGAGTTACTTAACCTCTCTGTGCTCCAGATAGAGTCCCCTCTGCTTGTAGGATTCTCATTGTCCGAGGCTGGGGGTGGATCGTGTATAAGGGCGGTACCTCTGGATGGTTCTTCGGGACGGGTTCGCCTCCAGAAGAGAGGGGCTGCATAGACTCTAGAACTTCAGCGCTGGGGGCTGGTACTGCCTTTCTCGGCCAAGGCGGTCAGCAGAGGCGCAGAGGTGGGTCTGCCTGCCTGTCTGCCCTCCTGCCCATCAGCCTGCGGTGCCGCTGATTCAGGGCTGGTGCCGGGGCGGCAGGCTCGGGGCAGGGACCCAGGTACATTTGGGTGTTCGAGTCTGCAGGCTTCTGGGAAGCTTGTCTGAGAGCGAGGCCTGTTTCTCTTCCTTGGTGAGGCTGAGGCAGGCCGTGCTGCTGCAGACGGGGACAGAGTCTGGGAGAGAGGGGCACCTGCTGTCCCCTGAAGTGGGAGCACTCCCACCAAACCTGGCCGTGGCCGGCGACAAGCCACAGCTCCACGTCTGGGAGCTGAGAGCCGAGGCTGCTTCCTTGGAGTTGCTGCTATAATAACGTTGTTCTCTTTGTAGTCCTGGGAGCTAATTAAAGGCAGTTCTGTGGCAGGAAAATAAGAGTTCATAAAATCCATTTGCCAGGTCTTTGTAATCTGTATTTCTCCTTCCGTGCGCAAGATGGAGAAGCGTAGGCTTAAAAACAAAGGCACCTGGGGAGACGGGGCTGGACGCCGGTCTGCCAGGGCTGGGTCCTGATCCTTGGAGCCTAGGAGGTGGCTGGCAGTAGCACGAAGGGCAGGCACTAACGGAAAGGTGGCTTGGGCCCAACATGTCACATATGAGTCCCGAGATAGGAGGCTGCCGGGCAGAACAGGCTGATCCTGGCCAGCAGGCGCACAGAAGGTGCCTCGTAGGCTGGGGTCTGTGGGGAGGTGGGAGTCTGGAGTCTGCGGTCTGACCGCCTTCCCCTTGCTTTCGTGGACGGCCTGGCCCCCTCTCCAACCTCGTCTCTCCTGCCCGGTTCTGCTCATGACATGCTCGCTGTGGGGGCCTGTCTCCCAAACCCCATCCCTGGAGGCTCACAGGGCTCCAGCTGCCGATTCCTTCCCCAAGGAGACATCCTCAGGGTCCCATCTGCAGGGCGCCGACCCCACGCTGCCCCCTACAGGGTCCCTAACTCGCTCTGAGCCGTCAAGCCTGGGCAGTCTCAGGGGGCCTGCAGGTCCTCGGAGCTGCATTTTAAATGCATAAGACAAAATCCCAAGGATTACAAAGGAAAAGAAATGGACAGAAATACCGTTATCAAACTCAGAAAGCAAGTTGGTGACATAGTGACTCACTCTGTGTCTCTTCAAGAACTCACTGAGTGACAAGACCCCCATGGCGGGCCATGCAGTCACGATGAGCATGAATGATATTTGAGGTAATCCCTGACATCCCTGTGAGACCGAGAACACCTGTGATTTCCACTGGTGGAAAACCGCAACAGAACATGATGCTAAATTTCAGCTAGAGGCTGGAGGAAGGAAAGACACCGGCATCTCCAGCCCGACGTCACAAACCCCCCGCATTATATGCAAGGCAAAATCTCCAGGTCCATCCAGGTCTAGTGTCCTCAGAATCTTATTCGGGCCGTTCTCTCATCTGTAGGCTTTTAACAGAAGGGGAAGGGTCTCCCTTTGCCCTCCACTGCCTCCTCTTCCTCCTACCTGTGTCCTCCAAGTGCCATCCCACCTCGGTCCCTGAGCAACGTGTGATGGAGCCAGCAGGTTTTCTGAGATCGCCACCCCTGGAGAGTTTCAAACACCAGATTCCCACTTCCGACCTCAGACTGTGGAATCAGACTCTCCAGGGTTGGGGCCTGGGCAGGTGTGGTCTGGCAAGTTTCCCAAAGTGATTCTGATGGGTCTCTCGGGCAGGCTTGAGGACTGTTGCCGGGAAAGCCCAGTCTCCCACCTGGCTCTGCCATCCCTGCGCTGTGGGACTGTGTCTGAGTCACCTGACATCTCTGGGTCCCTGTTCTCTCATCAGTAAAAGGGCATGCAAGAGCTGGATTTGGTGCCTCCTACGTGGGCTTCTCTGTCTCCCCCACCTGACTCCTCAGGGTTGTCCCTAGAATTATCACGGAGCGTCTACTACCCCCGTGTCCCCATAGACCAGCGGGAGATGACTTCCCTTTTGTCTTCACTGACAAAGACAGGCTGAGAATGAAGCGTGCCATCCACGCCCCTGCCTTCCGGCACTTGTACTCCGCCGGTGCCATGGCCTGCGCAGGGGCCTTGGAGGCAGCAAGGCAGAGTCGGGACCCCTGGAGAGTCCGACTGCTTGAGCGGGACATCCCCACAGCTCCCAACGAGCCCTCTCCTCTTGGTTTCTCTGGCTTAAAAGAGTAGGGGTATTCATTTTGAGCCAAGGGATCAGAAACTCCCCTCAGTTCACCGCGGAGAGAAGGGGTCTGGGAAGAGTGTGGAGAGGCATTTGGCTCCCATCCTGCAGTAGAGGGGTGGGCAGAAGGTGAGAAGAGGGCGACGCTTACCCCCAAGGCTGGCTCACAGGGACGGTGGCATTCCAGAAGCTGGAATGGAAGGTGGGAGAGGGCACGAGGGCACCCTGGGGTCTATCCCCAGACAGAACAAGGGGGATTTATTCCCCCTGTGTGACAGATGGGGAAGCTGAGACCTAACGGCTGTGATCTAGACATTCTGTGTGACTAGGGACAAGTCCCTTCCTCTCTCTGGGCCTAAGTTTCCCCATCTGACAATTAACGGGCAATGGCCCTGAGGACTCCTGAGTGCCCACGCACAGCTCTGCTGGGGCCGAGCACCTTCATTCTGAATTTGCCCCAGGAGGGCGTCCCCTCCCCACGGTTCACCTTTGCTGAACCCTCACTCACACCCCCACAGGCAAACGCTCACCCTGGACACCGGAGGTGGGTGCCCCTCCAGGGAGGGAAGCCAAGGAAATGAGCCCAAACTGCCACATATAGGCTTTAAGGGGGCCCTGGGAGGCAAAGGCTTTCGTACGTTTATTCAGTCATTTCCCAAAAGCTTATCCAGGTGTAGAGTATTGAGATTCCGGCTCCGGCTTCAGAGTCAGGCTCTCCAGGTTCAGGTCCTGACTCTGCCCTCTGCTGTCACCTGCATGAGTGACTTCTCTTCTCTGTTGCTGGTTTCCTCATCTGCAGGAGATGAACCAATCTCACAGGGCTACAGAGAGAATCAAAAGTGCATGATGCCGGCACAGAGTAGTTGCTCAATACGTATTTTCCATTTGTTGAACACCGTGAGCCTGGCCTTGGGCTGGGAGCTCAGGGAGACTGGGTCAGAATCTCCGTCCTAAGGGCTCACGTCTGGTGGAGAAAAAGATGGGTCAACAGAAAATCGCACTGCGTGCGATAAAGGTTGTATGGGAGAAGAACCAGGGCTGTGAGGTCAAAGAGGGGTGCTGGCCCAGCCTTGGGGAAGACAGGACAAGTCCTCTGGAGGAGGGAGTCGGAAGCTGGGTCGCTCAGGGTGAAGAGGTAACCAAGACAGGGAAGGGATGCTCCAGGCAGAAGGAACGTCCTGGGCAAAAGCGTGGAGGCAGGAAAGAATGAGCTGGTCTGGGGGCCCGGGGAGGGCTGGGAGCGTGGTGTGGGTCTGGCCAGGGTCCCCCAGCAGTGGGTGGAGTTGCCTGCAGCTCCTCCCCTGAAGATGCCTGGGAGAAGTGGAAAGGACTCCTGGGTATGAGGCGGGCCTGCGTGGAGGCAGGGGGTGAACAAAATGGCCCTGGGCAGTTCTGGCCAAGATGGTCTGACTCAGAGGTCACCGGACAGGGAGGAGGCTGCCCAGACCAGAGAGGTCATCACTGTGTCCTCTCCGAAGGTCCAGGAAGTTCCAATAACAGGGGACTCTCTGTTTTAGGACTGAAAGCCCCACGTCCCAGGAAACTCCTTCATCCCAGGCAGCCCTGGACTGCTGGTCACCCTGAGTGCATGCGTCCATGGGGCCTCCCCCTCCCCGCCATCCCTGGGAGAGGAACGGACTGACCGCCAGCCCTCTGTGCCCACTATGGCTCTTGCC